AGAGGCCGATATGTGAGAATATATTGGAACTAGGGCCGGGACTTTAACGCGTTAATTAAGATGAATTAATTACACAAAAATTAACGCGTTAAAAAAATTAACGCATTTTAATCGCACTTATTTTTGCACCGCGGAACGTTTCTCACTGGATGAGTTTCAGGCGTACCGATTATACTGGAGCACCAACTAACGTTCATGACTTCAGACAACAACAAACCACAGTGAACAATAGTCAAACATGAACGAAGAAGCTGATGAGACCGCTTTGGTTGGCCCCGTGAATGGGACATTTTGTTTTAAAAAATCGACGGATGGAAGCGTCAATAAGAGCACGGTTGTTCGCAAATTATGCAAAAAGGAATTCGCATATCACCGCAGCACATCAAGCCTCAAGTATCACCTCAATACAAAACATATAGCAGCTAGCGTGGAAGCTAGCGTGGACGTTAGCCCGACTCGGAGTACAAGGACCCACACCCATTTTTAAATCAACTGTTGGTAAATCAACAAAGTCTGTTATGGCCTCTGAAGCAACAGAGAGATGTTTTCTAATAGTCAGGGTTTCCAATGTTCTGAATGTACTTGAAAGTATTGTGTTATACTAAAAAAACAAAGTGTTATAGTTTACAGAAGGTCTACCTACCTATAGGCTACCTGAATCTCTGAAATGTACTATATTCCTAAATATGCTATTGCTACACTTTATGGCCAGTGTACCACCTTGAAAAAAATAAACAATGTTTTGTTGCTTAAGCTTATGTATTCAGTCATTATTCAATGGTATACTAAAATCCATGTGAAAAAAATTGCTTCTCACTGTTCTCAGGTCAAATATTTATGTGATTAAAAATGCGATTAATTTCGATTAATTAATTACAAAGCCTCTAATTAATTAGATTAATTTTTTTAATCGAGTCCCGGCCCTAATTGGAACATCAAGCACTGAGTTACAGCGACTTGTGCAGGAAAGTTCTTCATTTCGATGTTGTCTTGTCTTCCAGTGTGTTGAGTCTGGAGGAGAGCGTGAAGGCCATGTCTTTGTCTCCAGAGGAGGATGACATCCCCTGGGACACCATGAGGGACAACAGAGACCTTACCGTTTTCACCAGCTGGGACCCTAAAGACAGGTATGTTAATATCTTAATGTTTGGGAGAAAATAAGAAGTATCTAAAGTAATTGCACCAATTTAGTTTTAGGTATAGTCTGACTCTTTTGTCGTTGCAAAGTTAGCAGAAAAGGCATTGTTTACATTCTTTATCAGGATGTTAAGAGTACAGGGTCTGCTTCTGCAAAGTCTGCATTACTCCATGCAGGACCTTTGGGGTAAGTCTATGGTAGCCAAGCTAAACGGCAATGGGTTAGTTTCGTGCTTTTTGCAAGTGTCCCAATTTTTTGGAAGCAAAGATTTATTTAAGTTGGCAAAATAGACTATTTTCCAGTCCTAAGCAAACAATGTGCAATACCACAGATGAAGACAGATTGTTAAATGAGACCACATTGATTTATTAACATGTCCATATCACATTACATTAACATTTGTACATGTTTTGTTTTTCAAAGTGCCTTTTTATTTGATTGTGGAATAAAGGTCTTCAACAAAACATTTTCCTCATCGTTTCAACCCGTGTTCCTCGTTCCCTCCACAGAATGTTAACTGAGGAGCACCGGCGTCGCTCTCTAGAGGAAGAGTCAGTGTGGCTCAGGTTGCGCTCTCTAACACTTCGCATCCTCGCCTCCTTGGCCGATCTGGGACACACGCCATCGCAACAAAACTCGGAGAAGGTCAACGAAAACGGAGTGGGAGACAAGGGCTCGATCCTCAGCAGCCTGCTGTCTCAGCTCAACCAGACCCTGCAGACAGCCGCTCAGATAGCAGAGAAACCCACACAGGTACGTGAGAGGTGAAGCAAGGGTTTTAGGAGGCAAAGAAATCTCTCTGATTCACATAGCAACAGCCCTAAGTCTGTCTCATACGTACATTGTTAATAATATTAAGCGAAATATAAGGAACTGAAAAAAGAGGGAGAGGAAAAACGTATCATGTAAGACAACTGTTGTGTTCATCAGTGATTTGACCAACTTTGAAATTAGTAAAGAAAATGTTACACCTGAACTCGCCCCGAATCTTAAGAGTACCACAAACATCAGGACAGACAGCTTGCTCAGTGGCAGCAGGGCACAGGCTAGAACACTGGGGAGGAATAGATTATAAGCATTTTCTTTATCGTTATTTATCCACCAACATTAAGACATCGGCTGCCCTCTTCTATTAGCTCTCCTGGTGGCTGAAACCATTCTTATCTTTGTTCTGTCTCTTTTTAAAACGTTATCCTACCTCGGAGCACAATTCAAGTTACATGTGTCTGTGAATGAACATCTCTGCTTTATCAACCTTTTTGTTGTGGAAGAATGAACATCTTTGCAGTACATTTGGGTTACATAATGTAAGAGTTGCGTGAGTTCAATACTGTAATGTTGTCTTCTTGTACTGCAGTATCCATTCCTGGGCCCCCCCTCCACCCGCCTGGCCGCAGCTCTGTCCACTGGGAGTTGTCAGTGCCAGGCTGCAGCGCTCCAGCTGTCTGTCCACCTGCAGGACCTGGAGACTGCTGGACTTGGTAAGAAGAGATGGCAGTAACATCACGCAGACCAATGCTGGGTTAATGCTTTCATTCTCACGACCCCATTTATTTTCCCTCTCTTAGATGAGTCGTCAGAGCTTCAAACCCAGATCTGTAATGGTTTCAAATCATTAGTAGTTCAACTTCAAGGTGAGTTAGCAGCTGGATTTCTACGTTTTCAGCTCAATAAATTGCAAAGGTGTATTATTTGTCCGTTGTGCTTCATTCTTCTTTCTTTCTTCGCACAGAAATACTGAATAAATGCAAAGGGGATGTATTGGAAATGAAAGACAGCAAATTGAAAACGCAACCCTCCTTATTAGAAAACTTTATCTTCTTTGTTGAGGTGAGACATCTTTTCTTCCACACTTTTTCCTACCTACTCTCTACTGGATCTGATGCATTTCATTTTTCAACATGTTCATTTGTTGTACAGACGGTGTGCATAGTCCTGTGGATGGCTAGTCACTGTGCCAAGATTCTCCGACCACTGAAGACTAGTCTACAGAAGAAAAAGAAGAAGAAAAAGGATACAAGCACTGCTCTGGTACAGGTTCACCTTGAAATCTTCCTCATTAACTAATATGTTAGTAACTCATTATCCTGTAGTTGACTTTAAAAGTGATTCTAAGCTGATGATTTGTGTGTGTTGTAGCCGGCGGTGGTGTGTGGGTTCCAGGAGCTGACAGGAAGCGTGCAGGAGCTGATCACTCAGGCGTTGGACTATATAAAGAACCAAGAGACTGAAATCACGGCCATTAAACTGTCCGGTTTAAGCTTGGAAGGACCCACAGAGGTGAGAGAGCAGACACCAAGGTTTATCTTTTCCTTCTCTCTGGATTTCAATAAACACCATTAAACTTTTTTTTTTTTTTTAAACAAGCCTTCACCGATACAAATGTGCAGTTCCACAAACATTGATATTCACTTGTCTCCTTTAGCTAGTTGTGCAATGCCTTTATAACCTGCGGGTTCTGTAACTCAAGAATTTCCCAATTCAGGGTTTTACAAAATCTACTTGGAAAAGAGACTCGTGAGAGCGTTTTCAATTCAAACAACAATATATCTTCATTCTGTTTTAATGTAATAAAGGGTCAGGGTTAGGAAGACACTGTCCAGTTTGTTAAATTGACTTTTCTATATTTAAAAAACAAAACAATTTTACATTATTATGGTTCCCAGAAATGTATTTTAGCAACCAAATTAAGGGATTATGTAACCTGTGAGTCCGGTGCTTGATAATATTTAATGTCACCTATTATGCAAAATCCACTTGTTCATGTCTTTTTATGTCTGTGTAAAGAGATTCTGAAAGTTTCAGGAAAAAGATTTGCTCACTTTTTGTCGTGATCCATTTTATTTAAAAACCTGTCTGAAAATGAGCTGATCAGATTTTGGCCACTTTATGATGTCATAACGATTTTTTGGCTTGTGTAACCATTAGCCAATCAGCAACCAAGGTAACCCCCCCCCCACCTTATCACCTGAATCTCCTCCTAGAGCACCAATAGGCGCATTCACACAGCAGTACTTTTCCCACAAAGGTTCATCAGAACTTAGTTCATNATCGCACCAAGTAACCCCCCACCTTATCACCTGAATTTCTCCTCATAGAGCACCAATAGCGCATTCACACGGCAGTATTTTCCCACAAAGGTTCATCCAGAACTTAGTTCATGTGAAACTCTTAGTCTCTACATGGAACTAAAGTACGATCGCGTTCCACCACGGAATAAGTCCCTGTGGAAGGAATAGGCAAATGAAAACGCGCTGACGTCACTTCTTCTTTCTTCTTGCTTTGGGTTACTGGCAGGCCGCCAAGCAAACCTTCACGGCGTTACTTGCACCCGAAGTCCCCGCGGAAGTCCCGAGTTGGGGGACTGGGCGGCTTCACAAACTTTGGAGTTTACGGGGCGTGGTTGCAGCATCCGGCCCAGCCATCAGACATAGGGGAACTTTTCTCCCACGAAGTCCCTGCCTTCTAGCAGGACGGAAAAGGGGTAAAAAGTTCTGATTAAACTATTTTAGTTCTGGCTTCTTTTGGGTGTGAACTGCGACATGTTCAGAACTATATCGGAAACCTAAAGTGGGAAAAGTACTGGGCGGTGTGAACGCCGGCTATTGTGTTCTTTTTAACTAAATATCTCTCAGAGTTGCGTTGGGAAGGGGCCTTATTTTTGATCTAAAGTAACAGGCAGGAAACGCACTTTTGAACAGGGCTGAAACAGGAGGGGTTTGGGATGGCTGCAAAGATCTGCTTGGTGTTTCAGCCAAAGACTTCAAGACATGTCTATTGTATAATATCTGAGACTTATAATTATGATGAAAAACAGTATTAATGCGGACCTTTAAAGAGTCTATACCAGAATAAAATGTGTGCCAGAAGCTGCGATAAATGTATTGATCAACAAGGAACATCTCTGATCTTGATGTTTTTCGCCCTTGGCACCTTGAAAGGACATTGGATGTGAAAGTCATGAACAGCTATGTCCTTTGCTTAAATGAAGAAATTTTATTGATGTTATGTCTAGGGTCCCCACAATGAAGCCTGTGGCTCTCTGAATATACCCCAATGTTTGTGTTCAGGAGGAAGTGTGTTTGCGAGGCTGCTAGGGACAAGGTTCAGAGCAGTTACCTGCGATCGCTACAGGAAAGTGGGAGATCTTGCTCCAGAAGAGAGCGGAACTATTAAGAACTCAAGATCCGAACCCATCACACACACCAGAGAAAGAAGACTTACCCCCCACCCTCCCTCCTTCATAGCCCCCCCCCCTACACCACGGTCTCACCAGCTAACATAGGAGTCCCACAACCCACCCGAGCACACAATCGTCTCTGACCTCCTTCCTCTCCTCGCATATTTCTCCACTCATCGTTTGTGAACTCTCAATCTGGATTTTACTTTTCCATTTCTTCAACGCACACATCTCTGGGACATTTGCAACTCTTATAGCACACTAGCTTGTGAGTAAACTCGTGAATTTATACAGCAATTATAAGTGAAAACAAGGAAAAAAGGGTACTTTTTTTTTTTTTTAACAAACATAGAGCAAATTAGGATAAATAAACCGTTTTAGATGAAATAATCTCATTAATTATTGTACATAGTGAAGAGCAACTACCACAACCCTCCTTGACTAAATGAGAATATAAGACACAATAAACCACTATTGTCTGGGTTTGTCAGTTATGTTTCCCTTTGTTTTTCTGGTGAGAACAATCAAAGAAACACACACAGACACTAAGGAGGAAAGTTACTTCAATGAGCTGCTTTCCCATCCGTTTCATCATGAACTAGCAGGCACAATGTTGCATTGAACTGTTGTGCATTATTGAAATATGGACACCTGGTTACCTACAGACGGAAGTTTCCCATTCAAAATATGTTTTTTCTTTCTTTCTTTTTGCTTTGTGTGTTTCTTTAAAGTGGAACCACCTCTGTAGTTACAGTATTATAAAGAGAAATGGTTGGATGAGTTAAATGACATTTTTTAAAAGCCTGAATTGTCTGCCTACTATTGTTGATTTTTTATTTTTGTAATACCAGTAGAAGTTGTGCTTTTAAACATGTCTACTTTGGAATTGGGTTGTTCCAGCACAAACAAAAAATCACACGCCTTTAAGACTGGTCTGGTTAATATTACAAAAGAGGCCACATGCATTTATCTTTATATGAATATTGGTCACTTTATGATTCTCATCATCCAGGATGTATCACTGCAGGCATGGCATATCTAGCTAAATGCAACCACTAGAAGTTAAATATGTACAACCTCTTCATGGATATCCATGATTTAGTGAAAAATGAAAAGTGCAGAAATGAATATAATTAGCTAGAATGCATGTTTCTGGCATTCAGTGTGTGCTGTAGTGCGGTCCAGCCCTGAACATTAAGAGGACTTTGTCCACTTTGACCCACATCGGAAAATACAGATAATAAATATTCAGTCAAGTTGCAGCTCTGTAGAACAGTATAATTGACATAACTTGCATAAATGCAGACGGATGTGTTTGACAGACACATATTGGACCTAATTGTAAATATAAAGTTAAGGCAGCCTTTTTTTTTTTCGGGTGAAGTGTGAAAGGACTTTGGTGTGTTTTTTTTTTAAATCAGCTGCAGAAGATACTAAGATTTCTCTTGTGTTAACATTTGTTGTCATTCCTGTTAAAGACACCCAACACCTTTCCCCCAAAAAAACATTACATCAGCTTCAGCATCTTCTCAGAAAAATAAGCATCTTCTGCTAATATTATTAACCAATGGGAGATAAAGAGAGACATAGTTTACAAATATAACCCAGGAGCACTGACGGTGGACTGCAGGTAGTGCGCAGTTGGATTTCTTTTAGTTTTAGTACTTTATTAAGACATTGGCAGAGTGATGTGATAGAGTGAGTACATGTTGAATCCTCCCCTTCCCGTTAGTGTTGTATCCAAATTCAATCACAAACACGCCTGCTAGTAAATGGCTTTTTTTCTTTTACACTCGAGCCCCATGTGTCTGAATGGATCCGCAACTTGAGAGAAGATGTTTGTAATCGGACTACATGTTGTTGATGAGGTTCTGAAAAATGGTTGACAATCCGGAGTGTCATCTCACCACCCTCTTTTGTTAGAAAATGGAAAACAGAAACACTGGAATGTCAAAGCTTTTTTAATTAAAAAAAGTTAATGTGAGAAATTGCTTGTGCACTGTCTTCATCTCTTTGTATTTGTTTCTTTGGTGTGAACTTTACCAATCCAAATGTTGATGTGAATTGAAATTGTATATATACACAATTAGAAACTTAAATTTAAAATTCATATTTTAGCAATGTACACTGTACATGTCCAGTACACACTCAGTTCCTGCAGGAGGCAGCAACAGATTACGGCTGGTTTTATTTGATACACGAAGAAGAGCAGCATGTTACCAGCTGTGCATAAACAGAAAGAGAAGCGAGCTGAGGTCTTTAGACAGCTACTGCGTATGAGCTAATACAACTAATGTAATGTTTTGCGTTCGGCGAAGGTAAAGGCAGTATAACTAACGTAATGTTCTGACTGGACTCAAAGACGTTTTGTTTTAACTGCATTTAAACGGCTTTGTGTTTAGCTGTTAGCTAATTAGCTTGACAGTCATCTAGCTAGCTGGACGTGTAGCAGGTTTCGCTTGCTAGCTGTCACCGGTTTGTTATTGTTCTTTGTAAAAGTCGCCAATTCTTTTATTACACATGACTGTGTCTATGGTAGTAATCCGTCTGGAAATAGCCGACCAGTCTCCTTCTCCACAAGGTTTCCAGTACTCAGCTGGTGAGTAAAGTGTCTGATAACATAGCTAAACGTTGAAGTCATTGTTTTTGTGTCAAGTTAGCCAGGAAGCTAACAAGCAGTGACAAGAGAGCTTAAACCTAGAGGCTGAATATCATTTACTCAACTGCTAGCTACATCATACTTTAACTTCACTACATTTCACAGGGAAATATTGTTCTTTCAATGGTCAAGAAGCTTTAGATACCTTTCAGATGACCGTTTTTCAATATTTTGCTGTCCATAATATTGCATTTTTTGATCAACTGACGGATGAAATATTTGATCATGGCAATGTTCGGGCATGGAAAGTAAATCAATCAATCAGTTTCTCAAAATACAAGTGCTTTACTGAAATATCTAAATACATATTTTAACACAAACACCAGTAATAGTTTGAATGATGAATATTGAGACACTCAGTTTTCTAGTTGTTCTATTAGAGCTCACAGTAACCCTGTCCTGTTTCTCTTATCTTCAACAGAAGGCATGTCAGAGAAGGAGCTGCAGGAGAAAGCTTTAGGTGTAGCCAAACACACTCTGAGTGGGAAGACGGATCTGGAAAGAGCCGCTGTACTGCACCAGCACATCGGCAGCAGAGCCATGGGGGACATGGTTATAGAAACATTTGAACCCAGTCAAGGTAAGCAGAGTTCTCTTAATCATAACATCTAGCTGGTTCCAGTCATAGTACATTATCGGATTAGAGTCTGTCTTAAACTAGCTATTTGTGGTGAAGGCTGGAAATATATGTTATTCTTTCTATTACCTTCTTTCTCTGCCCCATAGAGCTCCATTGTTGTCTAAATATAATAGACTTGTATAACTTACGTTATAGCATACATTATTACGAAGTTATTACGATGTCAGTGGGGAACGGTTTAACTTATTCTATAACTCCTTTCCTTCTTGAGCGGATTGGTAGGCATCCCCACCGGACGACGCAC